AAGGCAGGAAGGAAACATTCTGGAGTTGTTTCTAGCCTCATCTTTATTGCCCTGCTTACAGAAACTGCCTCTCCAGTTAACCCTTATTACATTGTCACAGCTAAGGCAAAGTGCCCATCGACGTGAGTGATGTTGAGTTGGCCACACCCATCCAGTCACATGACCACCGGGCCACACCCACCCAGCTGGTCATTAGCGCAGAGATCTGGTTGTTGAATTATTTGAATCCCACCACTGCATTTGGGGGATGATATTACTGCATTTTGTGTCAACCCTGAAGATGACCTGACTGAGGCCATTTTGAGGCTTCAGTGTTGCTACACTGGAGCTAAAGGATCGGGAAGAGGGAATAGAGATAGCTGGGGTGTTGTAGCCAAAACAAAATACTTTCTCCTGGGAACCAAGGGCATTCCCACAGATAGTTGGAGTGAAGTTACCAGGCAACTGGACAGTACCTTGATTGGACCATGTGACTGATTTTTGGGGGGAAGAGAATAAACTTTTACTTTTAACTATGTGATAAAACCACAGGAACATTCAGAGTTGGTTTTCATCAGTCTGTGCCAATATGATATACTAAATAAAACTGTTCTTTGAGGAATCATCCTGCCTTGGAGTTCTGTTTGCTATGGGTGTATTACTTGGGTCCCTGACAATTTGATCTTACTGTGGAAGTTTCTAAGGATCTTTTGATTTACCTTGTTTTCCGGGAGAGCCTTTGGTGCCTGGTAAGCCATTTAGGCCAGTCAGTCCTGGGAATCCTGGGAATCCTGTAGATACATTTTAGAAGCTTTGCTGCCATTTTGGTGATCACTACGAAAATGCTGCTCTTGCTGCTGTATATTGATTGTTTTTATTTACTAAATGCTTGGCCAAGAGACCTGAAAGGAAGCTTACGAAGGTAACTTCGAAGGCAAAAATCAATTCAGTAACATAATACAATACTAGATAGATATTGTCACGGTCACACAGGTTTTTCAAGGAAGTTGATCCTGGCCAACCACATTTCAAAACAAGAATGTGAAACAAAAATCTTGGAAGTAGAAGCCTATACAGTAAGACCCTGCCCTATACGTCAATGAAGACTCAAACATCCAGACCAAAGTGTCTCAAGGTTGAATCATGGGGATTGGACCAAACTTTGTAAATGTTGTTGCCCATCCGAGCAATGTCACGAAAGACTCTGCCCTATGTCCTCTTCATCTATAAATCCAGCTAATCAACCCTGAAGTAGGAATGGCCTGTTGGGATTGGTGAACGGACACCTAGCAGTCATCAATGGTGGGTTTCTTTCTGATCCCACTGCCAACTCCCAATTGCTGTTAATTAGTGAAGGAGAAGGAAATCCACCATTCTTCTCCAGCTTGATGATCCACTGATCTATCGCCAGTGTTATTCCAAGAAACTTTGCAAGATTTGATTTGGCATTCCAACCCACAATTTGAGTTTCTCTCTAGAAGTAAGGTTTTCAAGAACAACCCCCAAAATGCAAAACAAACCTTTTGGTCCTGCAGTGCCAGGATTTCCAGGAAATCCTGGAGGTCCACGTTGCCCAGGATTACCTGGAAAACCTGGGTTTCCCCTTGAACCACCAGATCCAGGGAAGCCTAACGGGAGAAAACAAAGAATTGTTTAAAATTGAGCTCCTAAAGTTGCAGACTATATATCTCCACAATGCTAAAACCTTCAGAAGCTGCAGGGGTGGGTTTCAACCGGTTCGCGGTGGTCCCTGCGATCCGGTTGGTCGCCGAACCCAGAAGTAAGTAACTTCTGGGAACGGCGAAGGCCCACCCCCACGCCCGCGCGCCCGCGCGCGCCCGCACCCACTCCTTACCCAGTTTTGCCAAATTCTGCGCTTCCATGCATGCGCAGGACGCATACAGCGCCTGCGCGATCCTCCAGGAGCAGCTGGAGCATCGCACAGATGCTAGTACGCATGCGCGTGCCGTGTGCATGCGTGAGGACACCGCACGCATGCGCGAGGACGCCGCCGGCCTCGTTCCAACCGAACCGGTTGGAACGGGGCGAGAAACCCACCCCTGAGGAGCTGGGAGTCTTACTGAATGGAGTAACTCAACTTACTTCAGCTGGGAGTCTTACTCAATGGAACTCAATGAAATCAGTTCCAAGGACACAAATTTAGAATTAGTAAACAGAAGCACAGAATCAAAATATTAAGTAGTTAGCATTTATTTACAACATAAAGCGAGGTAAGAAGGTTTCCAGAGTTTTCCCATCTAGGCACTGACCAAATCTAATCCACCTTACGTTCAGCCAGATTGGATAAATCAAGTCTCCCTTGAGTCAAGGTAAACTCTAGGTAAAGGTAAAGGTTCCCCTTGCACATATGTGCTAGTCGTTCTTGACTGAAGGGGGCGGTGCCTATCTCTGTTTCAAAGCTGAAGAGCCAGCACTGTCTGAAGATGTCTCTGTGGTATTGTGGCTGGCATGACTAAACACCAAAGGCACACGCTGTTACCTTCCCACCAAAGGTGGTCCCTATTTTTCTACTTGCATTTTTACATGCTTTTGAATTGCTAGTTTGGCAGAAGCTGGGACCTGTAACGGGAGCTCACTCCGTTACACTGTGCTAGGGATTCGAACCACCAACCTGCCGACCTTTCTGATCGACAAGCTCAGCGTCTTAGCCCCTGAGCTATCGTGTCTTGGTGACTGTGTGGGTACAAGGTTTTGTGGCATCAACATATAAGTGATATGTCACATCTTCTTCTGGGGTGTGTTTTCAACCGATCTTCTGAGATTTTCAAGACAAAGGAAACAATGAGATTTGGACAATCTTGCGTGAGAGTTTACGTATCCTTCAGTTTTCTAGACATCTTTGTGAGCATTCTGGAGAAGTTTCTGGATGCAAAAAACCCCTGCTAATCCCTCTGCATTAAAAGATCCACCTTGTAAATAATACGTCTCGGTCACATGTCTTTGGTTACCTTGTGGTCCTTCTTGTCCACTGTTACCTGGTGACCCCTTCTGTCCATTTAGTCCAGGACCTCCTGAATATCCTGGGTCACCTTTTGTTCCTTGGACACCTGTTACACCTTCAAAAACCATAAGATGAGCCATTAAATTGCTATCTTCCCCAACCTAGGAAATTCTTGGAGTTGAACATTTATACCCTTGTCTAATTTTTACCCAAGTTTTCACATCTCTAAGATGATGAAGATGGTATTTCCATGGGATTTTAAAAAACACCTCTAAAATCATGAGTGGGAATGTACTCTCTTTTTGGTCGGAAATGGCAAGGCTGAACTGACAAATGTCTATTCGTAAAGCATGTCTACAATCAGCCAACCATATAGTGGGACCACAGACCATTCAGTTGAGAAGTACTGACATTCATTCACTCATTTCTAAGGAACCTCAGGAAGTTTACACTGATCCCTTAAGAAATTTGGTGTCAGGCGCAAAGGATCAGAACCATACATTAAGTTGCAATTCAGAAGACTTATTGTGCAAGCCTACACACAAGAAAGCTAGGCAATTAAAGTTCAATAAAAACTAAATTGGCACCAGATAAGGTTCAATGGAATTCAAGAGGGGTTGTATATGGAATGTTTGTGGCAATGTTAATGATTCTAAGCTGATGACGTGCTTAACTCCACCACCAGCTCTGCCTGTTGTTCCCCTATAGGTGGACTTTTAGTTAATGTACTAGTAAAAGTAATCTAAAATAAGCCTACTAGTTGCCCTTCCTTGAGTCATTGTCGGGTATTGATTTATTTACCTGGAAGCCCTTGGTCCCCTCGTTGGCCCTTAGGCCCCACACCACCTGGGATTCCTCGTGATTCCCCTCGATCACCTGAAAAGGGAAAAATAATCAACTGCTTTTTGTCTCAGCAATTCTGACAATTCACCATCTCCCTCCCACAATCAGAGCTTTCTTGGAAAACCATTACTATCCAGTACTATTTTCTCTTCCACTTTTTTTCAAGGATGCTTTTTTCCACACAGCATAATCAATACAAATTTTGAGTGAAGATAAATGAGGAAAAAAGTAATAGAGAAATGAAAAAAACCTATATAAAAGGAAGTATTAAAAAAAGAAAAAGAAAAAAGATGTTTCTGGTTTACTTAACAGCTGTTATAAATACATTTTATACAACTCAGAAAACTCAAACTGCCCAGGGAGCTGCTGATTCAGTTCTATAGAGGAATTATTGAGTCTGTCATCTGCACCTCCATAAGTGTCTGATTTGGCTCTACAACCCAACAAGACAGACACAGACTTCAGAGGAGAATCAGAACTGCAGAAAAGACAATGACTGCCAACCTGCCTTCCATTGAGGACCTGAATACTGCACCAGTCAAAAAGAGGGCTGTGAAAGTATCTTCAGACCCCTCACATCATGGACATAAATTGTTTCAATTTCTACCCTCAAAACGACGCTATAGGGCACTGCACACCAGAACTACTAGACACAAGGACAGTTTTTCCCCAAATGCCATCACTCTAATTCCCACAACACTATCGAACTATTTACTAAGACTGTATTACTATTCTTCTTCTCATCCTTCCTATTACCTATCTCCTTCCACTTATAACTAGAGCCACGTTGCTTGTATCTTTACAATTTATATTGTTTATTTGTTTCCTAGTATGATTTGATTGCTTATGACTATCACTAAGTGTTATATCTTATGATTCTTGGTGAATGTATTTTATTTTTCTTTATGTACACTGAGAGCATATGCACCAGAGACAAATTCCTTGTGTGTCCAATCACACTTGGCTAATCAAGAATTCTATTCTATTTAAAGAATTCTATTCTATTTAAATAATTTTATTTATATTTTACTTCTCTCTCTAAGGTCACATCAAAGCTTCCTTCTTTCCCTAATCTACTCTTCCTAATCATCTTATCTATAAACCATCCATTCATTTTTTTCCCTTTCTAGAGCAAAAAGTCTTTAAGGACACCTATATTGTTGATTTTTGAAAAGATGCTAGCAAGACCACACCGATGACTCACCCTTTGGACCACGCAATCCGGTAACCCCTGGGGAGCCTGGGGAGCCTGGGATACCTTCAGCACCCTATTGAAGAAAGCAGCATGTCAACATCATAATTAATGCTGAAATCAGCTTTCATGGTAGTGTGATTGGTCTCTTAGTATCCAGAGAGGAAGCTCCTTTCAAGTGACTATTCTGGTGACCACTAGCGATCTGAAATCACTACGGCGGCCAAGGGGATGCTGCAATGGTCATGTGTGAAAAATGGTTGTTACCGTATCCTTTGGAGTATAAGACGCACCGTAGTGTAAGAGGCAGCAAGGTTTTGAAGAGGCAAATTAAGAAAAAAAAATAGGTAGGTAGATAGAGGGATAGAGAGGGAGAGAAAGAGAGAGAAATATAGTAGTAGGTAGGGAGAGAGAGAGAGTAAGTAAGTAGGTAGATGTTTCCAGGTGTATTTATCCATTTGTTGGAGAAGGAAATTGCTGACAATCTGCAGCACCGAAGACTTTCTTTCTGCTGGCACAGCACTTCATCAATGTAATTCTCATCAGTTAAAGAGCTTTCCAAAAGGGAAAAAAAATTGCACTCTGCAAACCTTCAAAAAATGGCCCATTGTGTATCCGCAGAGTTGCCAGATGAAGGAAACAGCTAAAGAAGAGGGGTCAACTTGGGAATAAGGCCACACATGGATGATGAATGGCTCCTCCCAGAGGAAATAAAAGAAGAACGAAAGGGGAGTGGAATTTGCAAGAGACAATTAGTTCGCTTAATTGGTTCGTGACTCTCCAAGGCTCCTTGCCACATTTTGCTGATATCGGCCTGTCAGCTCTCCAAGCCAGAGAAGGTCTGTGACTGTAAATCCTCCCTTGAAAGACTTTGCTGGATGTGAATAAGCAGAATTCACAGCAAATTAATAAAAGGGGCATTTGTCAGGACAAGGAGTTTGCTTCATGCTCTCGGGAAGCCTCGGTCAGAACAACAATCCAACAGTGAGATCAACAGCCACAAAAAATCCTGTCTAGGTTCTTCTTCCACTTGTTGACTGTGTGATGCGGAAGACTCAGGGGAAAAGCAGAGAGGCTGTTTCCCGATCCTCACATCTTCTGCCAACATCCCAAAGCAGATCCAGAACTCCTTCAGAGATTATCTGGCTAAATCTGCTTCCACCTGACCAAAAAGATATGGACCAAAACTGTTCTGACCCAGCTCCCCAAACATGACAAACCTTCTGTGGTTAAATCAATGGTTCCTTTATTAGGAGTGCCAGCAGCCCTGGCAAAAAGTCTCGCTCTCTCACAGGATCATCAATGTCAGACCGGCAGGGAGATAAATAGTCTTCACTTCATCTTCACCCCCTGCCTTTTATCTCCAAAGCTAGGGTGGGGCTTTACTAGCAGTGGTGGCTCTTCCTTCCCAAGCAACGGCCCATACATTTCCACTGCTCTCCTCTCCTCTGCCTTCTGCACATCTGTGTGGCAGGCACTGGACACAGCTGTTCCTCCTCTTCCTCATCAGTCAAGCATGGGGGCTGTTGACTCTCCATCTGAGGGCTGACGGATGGCCCAGACTCTGCCTCTATCTCTATCTCTGACAGCTCCATTCCCTCTTCCCCCTTGGAGCTCTCAGGTTGCTAGATGCTGGCCCTGTCTCCCACTTTGCCTCTTCATCTGATTCGGCTGTTGGAGGGGCTGGCGGCCGGCAGACCATGACAAAAAATCATATGAAGGACCCAAAGGATTCTGAACTTGTTAGGAGTTCACTAAGACTCCAAAAGTCTAAAAGTGGTGGCCATCATTGAACTTGGAAGAACAGTGGAAGTGCTTCCCACTCACCCAGGAGTAAAAAGAAAAAAAAGAAAAGAGAAAGGATACTTACACGTCCCCCAGGCATTCCAGGAAACCCTGAGATACCACCAGATCCCTTTTGTCCCAAAAACCCAGGAGAACCAAATGTTCCTCGAAAACCTGGGTCTCCTGGCAGTCCTTTCTCTCTAGATGGGGATCCAGCTCTCCCTGGAAGCCCAGGCTGCCCTCGGACACCTGGGGCTCCTTTATCACCTACGGAAAGGTAAAACAGTGATATAACAAGGTGTCTAATGCTTCTTCAGAATGAAGAGTGGCAGGTGTCACCTTGTCCACCATCAGCCTATTCTGAGACTAGTCATCATTCGAATGGAGAAGATGATACAATAATTAGAGTTTTCTGTGTCTAATGCTTCTTCAAAAGTGCAGATTGGCAGATAGCAACAACAATAGTATCAGGGTTCCAACAGATGCCCTAATTAAATCATCACCCTTGAGCCAAGCTTCAAAATAAATCCATATTTTTTATTAGGAGTAACATGTTTGCACGTATCCAAGTGAAGCCAGCTCTGACCCTACATAATTTACAGCCCAAGTATGACTCTGTTTTCCCCCCTCATCCCAGGGTGTGCCATAAATCACATTCTCCAAAGGAGCACTTTCGCCTCTGATTGTTGCAGGTAACCTGGGAGACAACCTTGAGAAAGATATGCATGGAATGTGCTGATTGTGGCTGCCATGCTGCTGCATCAGTTCCCCCCTCTTGCTTATGGCAACTCGAGAGCAGGCCAGGGATGCTTTGCGAGTTGACAATGCCAAACACATACCTCTTAGTCCTGGAAATCCTCTTTGTCCCTCCAATCCAGGATCTCCTCTGTCCCCTTTGAATCTGAGGGCCAGATCTGGGGGTCTGAAAATGGGAGGTCCAGGAGGACCACGGACACCTCTATCACCTGCACAAAAGAAGAAAGATGCTTACTCTACCTACATTGATCCAGAGAGCACCAGACATTCCTGCTTAGAGTATTTAGATCCGCAGTCCAAATATAAGACCAATGAGTTTATAGTGGACTATAAAAGGAATAGATCAGACATCCAGCCCTTCCTTATCAATGGAGAACAAGTGGAGCAAGTGGTCAGTTTTAAGTTTCTGGCTGTTATTATAAAAGAGAACTTGAATTGGGACGCTCATATTGCAGCACTGGTCAAAAGGGGCCATTAGAGATTATACGACCTGAGACTTCTCAGCAGCCTGTCCCCAGTGTGCACATGCGCAGAGTTGCCAAACAAAGGGAACAGCTAAAGAACAGGGGTTGACTTGGGAGTAAGGCCACAGGTGGACGATGACTGGCCCCTCCCAGAGGAAATAAAAGAGGAGCGAAAGGGGAGTGGAGTTTGCAAGAGACCATTAGTTTGCTTAATTTGTTTCGTGACTCTCCGTGGCTCCTTGCCAAATTTTGCAAATATCGGCCTGCCAGCTCTCCAAGCCAGAGAAGGTCTGTGACTGTAAATCCTCCCTTGAAAGACTGCTGGATGTGAATGAGAAGAATTCATAGTCAATTAATAAAAAGGTTTTTTGTTGGGACAAGGACTTGCTTTATGCTCTTGGGAAGCCTCGGTCAGAACACAATGCCCGGTAGTGTGCTGTGGCCTGGGGGTTGAAGACCCTTGCACTAGGTTATAAATTTAGAGCAAGCCTCACTCCTTATTAGCACTGATGATGTTACATGGTTGGGTAAGGAAATGTCTGCAAGAAAACAACCAAGCTCAGAAAGCACCAAGGACCCCACATGTCAACTCTTAGCTACAAATATTCTCCTTTATTGGTACATAGAAACCAAGACATTGTGACTAAAACTTCACTGTTTTTGAGGAGGCTTGTGAAATAGGAGTTTGTATCTTAACATGTATTTTGGAAGGCAATTCTGAAAAGTGGGCAAAAGAAATGAAGTCCCGGTTTCATCAGAAAACAAAGTCAGGAGACACGCAAAACCTTTCGGCTTGGGTTGGTCATACGCTGTGCTTCATGCAAAATTTCTGGACTCACCTTTGAGGCCAGGTAAGCCAGAAAATCCAGGGTTTCCATTTCTTCCTGGTGCACCCGACGTTCCTTTCAGGCCATCCAGGCCAGGGACCCCAGTTGGCCCCGGCATCCCAGGAAAACCAGTCATACCCACCGAGCCCTTTTCACCTAGTTTGGAACAATCAAGCATTATTTCATGCAGAGTACACTGAATGTTTTGGGAAAGAAAGATTCAGGTAAAGGTAAAGGTTCCCCTCGCACATGTGTGCTAGTCGTTCCCAACTCTAGGGGGTGGTGCTCATCTCAATTTCTAAGCCAAAGAGCCAGCATTGTTCAAAGATGTCTCCGTGGTCATGTGGCCAACATGACTCAATGCCGAAGGTGCACAGAACACTGTTACCTTCCCACCAAAGGTGGTCCCTTTGCATTCTTAGGGCTCCAACAGGAAGAGCAACTGCTTCCTGTTGGGGCCCAAAGGAGCCCGGGTGGGCAGGCGAGGCGTGGTGAGTAAAGGCTGGCAAGGCGCCCCTTGATGTGCATGACACCGAGTTGGCCACGCCCACGCAGTCACATAGCCACCTTGCCACGCCCACCCAGCCGGTCAGCTAGGCAGATCGTATTAGTGGCCCAGAAGATTGAAAATTAAGAATTTAGCGGTCTCTGAGGTCCGAAAGGTTGGTGACCCCTGCTTCAGAGCACATCTGAAAGTTCCAACACAGATCAAAGGCAACAATTCTCATGTAAGCGCAGAGTTATCAATTACAAAACAATTACGGTACCTTTTGAGCCTGGGAAACCTGAAGACCCATCTGGGCCCCAGAGGCCTGGCGGTCCAGGCAATCCTCGTTCTCCAGGCTGTCCTGGCAGGCCCTCAAGACCTGGGGACCCTTTCATGCCGGCAGGACTTGGTGACCCAGCATCTCCTCTTGGTCCTTTGGTTCCGGGAAGTCCTGAATGGTTCAAAACCCAAACTGTCACCACGACATTCTTCCAAAGACAACATTTCTACTATCTCTCAAGAGGTTAACACTAAAGCGTTTCATTTGTATACAGCTAACTGAACTGCGGCCAAAAATATATATCATGCAGCCTTTCTAAAGCACACAAGGTTAGAAATGAAAAAAAAAAAAGGATTAGTTGCCTAATGATTAAAAGCTCTAGGAAAGCTACTGCCTATGTACCAACGGACAACTGCCAACAGTGAAACCCCTTATGGTTGGGATAATTTCGGCCTTTATCACAGTGGTGAAATTCAATTTTTTTTACTACCGGTTCTGTGGGTGTGGCTTGGTGGATATGGTGTGGCTTGGTGGGCATGGCGGGCAAAGGATACTGCAAAATCTCCATTCCCACCCCATTCTGGGACCAGCCAGAGATGGTATTTGCTGGTTATCTGAACTACTCAAAATTTACGCTACTGGTTCTCCGAACTACTCAAAATTTACGCTACTGGTTCTCC